CCTAGGCCATGAAGCAAAGCCAGTGCTGCTGCAGTGCACTCTTTTTACAAACAAGTCTAAGATACTCTAAACTCATTGCTAAAACTCAGTGATCAGATCTGATTATCTCACCTTCCAAGCACTGCCAAACCCTCATCTACAGCTCCAACAAGTGCAGTTTTCCCCATTCTGTGTGTTCAGAAAGCTGCAGTAATTGTCATTCTCCCAACCTGTCGCTTTCAGATATTTGCTATCTATTATCATGCCTAGGGTTCTAACCTGCCCTCAACCCCCAAATTATAGTCTTTCACTGAAGACTGTGATTGACTGGATTCTGGTCTCCATAATATAATTGATTAATGTTCAAGGAAGCACATTTATACATCCTTATGCTAAAGAGCTAAAGCCTATTATCTGTTTTCAGTTAATAAAACGTATTTGTTCAGTATTTACTCAATATTTGCACTGTTTGCTCAATAAATGAGAACTTCACTGCAAATTGTTAAAATAATAAAAAAATAGAAAAAAATATTTATTAGATAATCTCTGCCTGTAGACGGACAAATTTTCAACACAAATTAATTCTTTAACAAAGGTTTCTATTTGTTATTAACTCTGAAACTGGCCATGGAGTGGTGAAAGAGGTAAGGAATGCACATGAACAAAAAAGGCCTTTCTTTTCACAACAAAAATTTTGGACAGTTTTCAGTTTTTACTTCAAACCTCCTATGTTTGTAAGTTTGCTTGTTGGTTTTTTTTGTTTTTGTTTTTTTTTTTTAATAATGAAAACTCATTTTTCCAGGGATAAGACAGAAATTTAGGGAAAGAAACCTAAAACAACCAACCAGTTTATGAGTGCAATCTGCCGTTGAAGAACAGCTTTGACAGGCAAATATTTGCCCAGCCTGAACAAGGACCCTGCTTTTTTAGGGAAACTATTCCATTTCCAGCACATATTGCTACTCCCTTCCACTTTTCCCAGTGGTGTAGACAAGAATGACAAATTCCCACTCAAGCCTGGGTGCCTGGCTGTACCACCCCCACAAGGTGCAGCCCCTGGGGCTCTTTGAGTAGCTAGATTGAACATTTTGAGTGTTGAATAATTTCACTGAAATGGTTGCTATTTGATTTTACATTTCTAAGAAAGAAGAACTGTGATTTTGTTCCCTAACCTAAGTATTGTAGCCATAAAATAATACATTCCACAAAATACTCCAGAAAGCTATTGCACTAAACAGAGCACTGAATGCTTATTTCATCTAGGATAACATCATTCTTTTATTGTTTGGGAGACCTATGTTTATCTCTTGAAAAATATCAGCTGTCTTTCTTCGCTGCTGTCTTTGCAAAGTTCCCCTTCCCATGGAAAAATATAATTTCACAAGTGCTCACTGACTTAGCAAGATATCCTGTGGGCTAAAAGTGAATTGCAGGTGCAGCTAATGGTCTGTTCTAGATGTTTTGTGCTGTTTGGTGTGACAAGTACAGGGAAGATCAGTCTGTGAAGCCTGGATGTAGTAGGTAGACTCGTAGGTGTTCATGCCATGAATTGGATCTGAAGTGGAAGCAAATGAAAAGCAAGGAAAATGGGTGGATATAGGAAACTAAAGCAAACAGATTACTCACTTAGAATTATTACCCTTGGTAGCTTACTTTCTTCTTCCTGCTTCATTCATGTTGATTTTTAGGGTGTAAATGGGAATAATACTGGTTCAATTTAGGAAGGTTTTATTTAGCTTGTTTTCTGGCTTCTCTGTGTGGGGAAATTAACAAGACTGTGGATTGCTCTTTTTTATTTTGGAAAACAAAATCTGAACAATTCTTGGAAACTGGGGAGTGAAGGGGAGGTATTCCACATATTCCATTAATCAGATTTCCAGCAGCAGTTTCTGCTTTGAAAAGGCTGGTTAAAGAACAACGTGAAATCTTACAACCAAGCTAATTCTAATTCCTACATTTATTCCTAACTGACAAATGAAAATGAAACCTGTTCAGAAATAATATTTAAAAGTCTATTTCCTTATTAAATGACAAACAAGCTTTCAAAGTAAAAGGTGAATGGACTTAGTGTACAGGAAGGCCTAGTGAGTACCTTGGGATGGAAGGGTTTTCAAGGGCATCATAATGCCTGAAATCATAATTCCTGAATCCAGAAAGCTGGATTTGTAAAGAAAAATGTTCAAAATGGTTCTCACAAAGACCTACACCCTTAGTCAAGTTATCCCACTTATTTTTTGGAGAAAGTAAAATTGATGTTATTAATCAAGCATTAAATTGCACAATAGATGTGCAGTATCTTTTTTATATAATTAAATTCTATATTAAGAAATAATTTTAAAAATAAATTTCTAAGTGTTGTTGGAAAAGCAATCATTTGTGTGGATTTTTTCCACTGGAAAGTCATGAATAGCATACAGAAAGGAGGGGGTTGTATAAAATCCACACACCCCAAACCAAAGCAACTTTTTACAGCAGGCTGCTTATGGTGTAGAGAAAGTCAGTTATTTGTGTTAGTAACTAAAATAAATTCAAGTTGTCTACAATTTAACATATATTAAGTTGTCTACAATTTAACATATATTTAGCCAGGCTTTTGTGGCTAAAACATAACAAAACATAAAAGAATGAGTCAAATTCTGATCTTGTCCTGGCAAATATCCAGAGTGTTAGAATTGGTTTTAGCATAAATTGAGATTAGAAACTCTCTCAGATAGTGGAAGAAATTGGCCCAGGAGATGAGAAATATAATTCCAACTTATTCCATGGCCATATGATAACTCTGTCGAGCTGTACAAGAAGCTTGCTAAGCATTATGCAATGCACAGCCATACAAAGTTTTTTAGTATAGCTGATATTTGATGAGGGATATTGAACTCAAATATCTTTATCTCTTTTTGAATTCAATTAAATATCTGGGTAGAAGGGAACAGGCATAATCTCTTTTCCAAACAGCTCTGAGATACAGAAAAATGCTGATGGGATGCAAGGAAACTGAGCAGGAAAAATAGATTTCTGCATTCTTTTTATAGAATGTGAAGAGTAACCAAGTTAGTACTTTAATTTTGTATTATCTTAAGTCAATAGGTTAATTCTTTTGAGACACACGTTGGCATTGAAAAATACACAGTGCCTCTCTGAACTGGGTGGTAGAGGGAGTGAGACTTATTAACATGTAGATTTTTCTGAGCACTAAAATGGATATGCTAAATAAGTAACTGCATCAGAGAAACTGACTGTAACGAGTGGACTCAGAAGACAAAGGATCACCTGATGAAGATGTTGAAAGTCATCTTTAAAACACAATTAGACATTATGGAAGGTAAAGGAAGGAGTATCAGCAATTTATATCAGAGAGAACAGCAATAATTGAAGATGTCAAAAAGGGTTCTAGTTAGGCAAGAAAGGCACATACAGGAAGAGCTCAAACTAAAAAAAGTGCTCAAGAGTGGCAACAAAATGGGAATGTGGAAATTTTGAATATGTTTTCAGTTATTTCATCACAGAAGTCTGCACACTGGCTGGCTGCACCAGCTAAATTTTTGACATCTGCACAAATATTGCTGCTATCACATCCTTGAGGAAGGAAATGGAAAAAAGAGCTTGTAAAGAGACAGACATCTGAAAAACCCATGCTTGCTGATATCCTGAGGAGAATATGTGCACCCTGTAACCATGGGTCAGTTACCCCCAGTGTTTCCCTTTCTACAAAGAAGTAGGAGACAGAACTGTAGGAAGCATGACAGGGCAGTGGAGTCCTCTGAGACCAATGGAAGCACCCAGATTTTTGCCATACCAAGAGCCAGGTGCAACAGCCCTGGGCGCCTCTGTCAGCAGGTTCTTCACCATGGCGAGGGACAAAGGCATTGATAAATTTGCAGCTGAGCATCTTCCCATCATAGAAAAGATATCTTGAAGTCTAATATCAAGCTGATTAAAGCAAAGTCATTCTAAAATAAAAGTCTTCATTTCCTAAGGCATATTTTTCCCCTTTAAAAAATATCCATCAGAGACCTAACATAAATAGCATGGACCTATGAATATAAATAGTGTAAGCAACAAGGTAAAGAAAGTAAATCTGAGGGGCTTCAAAGCTAGGCTTACAGTAGAAATAAAGGGAAGGAGGCATATCCAGTGAAGAAAGATGAGGCAGTTATTCTAGAAGTGGAAAATTGCCAAGCTGAGATTTGCCACAGCAGGCACTGGAAGCCTTCAAATGAAAAGGCCTGGGAAGCATTGCAGTTACTGTGCCTTGGTTCATCTCCCATGCTGCACATTTTAGAAAGTTAAATGCCTATCACGTGTTTCTTGAATAGCACTCCTTGTCACACAGTTCCAGAACTGTTTCTAACAAGAAAGCTCAGAAATAGGCTCATATGCTTATTAAATCACCAATTCTGCTTGATTAAAAAACCCCCAAAAAACAAAGCAAACCAAAACTCAGAAAACTATATTCGTGATGTCAAATAGTTTTATTTAGTTCATAAAAATACTGCATAAGCTGTTCAAAATCAAAATATAAGGTCCTTAGAAGTAAACCTCATTTCAGTTTTGTGAAGAATTAGATTTTTAAATACATATGGGGCATTTAAGTTTTCTCCTTAGTGTTTTTTGTATTTAATTTTAAATAACATACTGATAGTAAAGTTAATAGTTAAGGACTTATACATTAATGTTAGAAGTATAATGGTACTGGGCCAAAACAATTCCACAGATAACAATCTATATGGTAGACTTTAATACTCAGTTAGAACACATTATAAAGAGAGCTCCCCAGAAATTGCTCAGAAAACAGAAAAGTGATTTTCTTTCAATTTTTGACTTATCATATAGTACTCAATTATATTTTATAGCTAGACACTTAGATGAGGAAAACTTTAGTTTTCCAAAATTATCTTTATTCTTTGAAATATGTTGTTTTGCCAATAGAAGACAATCTGAATCCTTCTGTAAGGAATGAGAAGATGAATTAACACATTTTGATAATTTGTTATATGATATAATAATTCAAATGTTTTCTTTCTTGAACAATGAATAAATTGAGTTATTTGCTCTAGAGATGATTAATACAAGACTTTGAGAAATATTTCTCATAGATGAGTAATGAAGATGAAACAGTTTAAGAGGTGAGTGTGATAGAGTAGCAGGTCTGCCACATGAGGTCTGTTTCCCTAGGAATCATGCCCAAATGGAGGACTATCCCAGACTACATTTTTAAACAGGTCATAGACATCCTTCAGATTGGCACCATTTCAGACAGTCCCTTACTAAGTAAACACACAAACCTAAGAACTGATTTTTTTGTGCTCTATCACTTACCTATTGACCCATAGGAAAAATTGAAGGCCCTAGATATTTCAGAATTAGTAATCCTCTATTAATAAATATTTCTGATATTCTTTGATGTCTTCCTGGATTTGGCTACCCTAAATTATGGTGACTTTCCTCATATTCCTCTTTACCAGATCATGAATCCACAAACAATACTGGTTGTAATATAGTTATCTGGCACATATATTTGATGTCGTCATTATATTACTAAAAGATTTGTAAATGGCGAAGAAATTCAGTTCCTGACATGTATTGGGTCATCAGACCACTGTTTTTATACAATGAGTTAACTTCTACATAACTTTTCTTTTCTAGCCAGATGAAAGAGAAAAGAAGAACTGATGGAATTTGTGGCAAGAAGAATAACCAGGCGTTCATTTGGTTACAGATGTCAAACACAGAGGTGTTTCTATGTTATTTTCAGTTTAAATATTGCAGTGATTGATTTAAAGTACTGCTATACTTACAACTAAAAGCTATTTGTCTGTGATCTGCATCGAAGAAAAATGTCGTTGTTTGACCTTTCATTTACAGAAAGATTTAATTATGCTTCAAGGTTCAGACTTTTTTAGATGCAGAAAACATTTCCTATGTTCCCATGTTCCTGGATTTCTGATTGTGCTGCAGCTGTTAGGCAGCTTGCATATCCAGTATAGCTGAACATGGAGGGGTTGTCTATATCATCAATATCATCAATACTGGGGAGGGGCAAACTTTCTAAATGGGTCAGCCTTACTTTCAGTGCACAGTCCTCCAGTGATTGGGAGAAATGGAGCCTATCCACCCTGCTCTAGGGATCCTAGAGAATCTTGCATAGCTGCTTTGACTTTTGGATGGCTTTTTGGACACTGCTATGAAAACTCTCAGGATGCCCTCTGCAGTCAGCACTGTCATTCAGAGGCTTGGCTGGACATAACCACAGAATTTAACCTGTCAGATGATGGGCTGAGATACTGGTTCCTTAACTCAGCAGCATTCCAAACCAGTGGGATTGATGCATGCTTGGCTGTATCTGCTGCATGCCACTGGGTAAGAAGCATAGGCATAAGGTAATGGTACACCTTTTAAGCAAAGAAAACAACATTATCTCCAGATCAGTAGTCATCAGCCCTGCTATACATAGTCACTTAACAACTACTGAGAACAGAGAACAATCTTTTCCCCCAATTTGTATTACTCACTGTCTATTTTGTGAAGCAGTTGATACAGGAAAATAAAACTTGATTATTTAAATGCACTGATAACCATCTTTTCCCTATGTAGCATGACATAAAATATGGCAAGGAGATATGTTGATTCTTGCAGGAATCAGAAGTAATTTTAAAAAATAGTCAGAATTAAATTTTCACAGCTCCTGAGGCACACACGGTACCAGTGCTTGCGTGGCTTGCTTCATGTCACACCCAAGAACAGCACTGAGACATTTACTTTAAATGTCAATGAGGTTCTGAAAGCAATCTAAGTTGATTGCTGAAAATAAGCTAAACCTTCTTTATTCCTGTGGTTTGCAGTTCTAGAAACAAAATCAGAAATGTTTTATGTTGTAACTGGTTGAGTCAACTAGAGATTGATGTGGTTTTGTGGTTTCCTTAGTTGTACCAGGAACTAACCAAAATACCCACTGGTCTTCTTGCCATGCTGTTCTCTGTACTACTGCACATTACAATATGAAAAGGGAACCTCTAAGACACTTAGAGTAACTTTTTATTTGTTTGTTTCTATTTTCATTGTATTTTATTTCTCTTTTACAGTGGACTTCAAGTTTGCACCGTATGGATAGTTCAAATGTCATTATTGAGTCATAATCAAACATGCATCATAGAACTATAAGATGTTAAACATTAATCTCAGAGCACAGCTTAGTAAGATAAAAGCATTAGTTCTCAAACACTTATCTTTTAAACATATGCTATCTTGGTTTGGATTTAATGGGACCTTCCTCATGCAAGTAGAACATCTGAAATAGAAGAAAGAAAACAAAATTTAATTTTGCTCCTGTTAATAATTTTGGTAGAATAGCTATTTCCAGTCACAGGTATTAAAATAACCAAGTAAATTGCAAGTGAAATGAAATTTTTCTAGTGTTCAAAATACTTTTGGGAAATGAGAGGTTAGTCTTGGAAAGTATCACTAAAGTCTTGCCCTGCCTGATTTTTTCCCCAGGCCTTTGCTGTTAGTGACAGGATAATAGGATAATAATTCAAATCAATTCATTGATCTGAACTAATGTGATTTCTGGAGAGGGGAAAGAGAACTTTAGTGTTAAGCTGAAAGAAACAAAAGAATCAAGAAGGAGAGTGTGAAGAAAATTCAACTCAAACGTAACTCCTGACTTTGGAAGCAAAATCTGAGATACTTCAGAAACAAAAATATGTGAATCAGTCTACTACTAAAATGACTTCAGATAAGGATTTTAGATAGAAGGTAAAAAAGGAAGCAAAGAAGGCTCTTTATGAAGAGCCTGGATTAGACATAATAAAATCTTTTAAAATTATGAGTTTAATTTAGGGTGACACTGCTACTTTCCTTAAGGGTCAGAATTTCATATTAGTTACATATAAAATTTCTTACAATGTCAAGTTTCACTGAGATAAAGAATTACCAATCAAAATGCTTCCTATGCCACCCATGGGCATTTGTTACAGCTAGAAGAGCATCTCCTATCTATGAGAAAGATCTTGTTTAATACTTTTTAAAGACTGTAGCAGGTATTCCTTTCCAGACACCAGTAGGATGATCCGATCTCAGTTCAATTTAAATTTTGCAGCAGAAATGTACTCTCCCATCCCAGTACTGTTTCCTAAGTGATCAGTATTTGTACCTGCCCATTCTCATTGCCCACACAGTCCTGCCTGATGATTTTACTTTTTCACTGTCTCTTGGTCCTCTCGGCCACCAAAAAACATGGTAGGAAGGTACTGTTGCTCACTGATATGACATTGATCAGAAATACACCTGGACTTTAGTGCCTTTATTGGGAGATTAAGAAGACTGTGGCCCATGAGCACTGCTCCTGAGATGAGCACTGCATCCTGAGATGCTCCTGTCCTCTTCCTGGACAAAGATGAAACCTGCCATCTCTTCCCTAAAACAGTAACTTTTTTGAATGATGAAGGTTTGGTGAGTTGGCACCACTTCCACGATTAACATGACACTTATATGAAAAAAATAACACCTCCATTCCAAATGTTCTAGTCAGTGCATAATAGCTGAGGCAGAACACTGGTGCACATTTCTGAAGAACAGATAATTTGCACCTCATCTGTCTGGACTAGAACCTGCACGAAACAGGTCAGACAGCACTGGCTCTTCTGCACAGACCTCACCTGTAGTGAGCTGTCCTGGCTTTTTTGACTGTATGTAATACAAACTATGGTTTCAGGGTTTGGAGTGGTTTTGGGTTTTTTTTTTTCTCCTCGGAAGGTTTCTCTCTCCTTTTCAAAGGGAATAAACAACAGCATTTATGCAGCTAAAATTCTCTTCATTGCTGTACAAAAATAATTTTTCTTCCTTGTGTTGAATTCCTGGTACAGTAACAACATCTCCCTCTCACCTGAGTTAATTTATATTTAAAGTTTTGGGTTGGCTTTTCAACCTTCTAAAATATTCATTAAAGGTTTTATCTAGTTTTTCAAATTATGTTAATAAACCAGTTTATTACAAAGTTTATTTGTATTTGTTTGCATAAAATCTTTAGTAAACAAACAACAAATTAAATTTGATTCATAAATAAACAGCGTCTTTTAAGAAGTTAATCTGACTTCATACATTTTTCTGTCACTGAGCAAAATTTGACTAACTCAAACAGTAAACATTTTCCACTAACCTTTTTTTACATATATACAACTTTAAAACTATCTCCTTTGCAACTTAATAAAATTAATAAACTTTTATTTGTAAAATTAAAAATTTTAATTTCTGTTTTTAACCCTTTCATTTGATTTCCTCTATTCTGAAAATCTACAAAATCTTGCTTTTTTTAATGTTTTGCCTTTCATCCACTTAAACAATTTTTAAAAAACTTGTTTCAGCTCCTTTCACTAATGCCTGAGTTCTTGTAATTGTGGGTTTCCATCCCAGATGTACCTCCATGTGCCAAGCCTGGCTCAGTTGTATGGTTAACTGGCTGTGCAGGTACATCCATGTGGAGTAACCCACGGTCCAAGACAACAAGCTTTGTAGAATGGTCAAATGAATCAGTCCAAAGGGGAAACAGATTTTAGAAGTGACCCTTATAGGAGTATAACAGGACTGTAAAGCTGAATTGTTGCTGCTTTTGAGTTACTGTGTGAACAGTGAGTTTTGAGATCTGACTCCTGTTCCTGAAGTGATAAAGCAACCTGTAGCATTATATTTTTTTAACCAATTTAATTTCATTCCAGATGTGAATGTTTCAGCCAACTGTGTAGCAGATGTTTTGGACTGGCCACAATGGAACTGAACAACTGTAGCTAAAATTTTCTTTTCCACATGACCAGGAATTTAAAAAAGAAACGCACTTTTGGTTTTGGAAAGTCAGGCCAGGTGAAAACTGAGTACTGGTCTTTCTATCTTATTTGTGTAGTCCTTTGTTCTGTACTTCATATCTTAATTCATAAAGATAAAAAACCCCTCCTTTGTTTCAAGCTAAAGAAAACTGGGAAGCTCTGTACTTATAGATCCCTGTTCATGGTTGCTTTCTCTGGGTTGTTTGGGTTTGTTTTTTTTCTGTTGTAAAACAAGTAGAAAAGGAGCAGAAGCACTCTCAGGTCAGGAGGGTATAACCAAATCAGAAGTCTCATTTATTGCTTTACTTTGCGTGGGTCTAATGTATGGAACACAAGGAGTGAAGCAAAGAATCTTCTTTGTCTTTCACACAGGGGTCAGACATGCCACTACATGTTAGGACATTTGTAGAGTACATACTGCATAAGGGTAAACAGCAAACAAAAAGTGGGTAGACTTGCTTGTTTGGTATGTGTGAGGTACAGCATAAACACCCCAGTGGTCACATTAGACACGTTTTCTCTCTGCTCATTTGCATTTGTTTTCAGCTAGAGCACTCTATGCAGATGTGGCTAAAAACACTAGAGTTAATAAAACCCAAACAGTTTTATTCAAATACCCTCTCTATATACAAGCACCCAAGAAAGTACCTAGCACATAATGCATTGCTGTTTCCTACAATTATTCCTGTAGTCCGCTTTATTTGCAAAAATTCAAAGACTAGTAAAATGTTAAAATAGTTACAGAATTATGGAGCCATTCCTCTACTCCTGACACCCTTTCTGAATCTTAAACCCCTGTCTTTTGTTTGAACAAATGTGTGGAAAAGATTGTTTATAATGAGAACACATGAAAGGGTTTGGGCTTGCTCCACGCTGAGTGAAACAGAATGCAAGAATTTCAGAAATGGTTCGAAGGTGGAATGGCACCTCTTCAACCAATTCTGCACTGAGCCAGGATTGTTTGTGCACTCCAGACTCCACTCAACAGAACCACTGTGGCTTGCTTGGAAGCCCTTGAGTGTGCATCAGCATAGCCATAACCCAGAGTGCTTTGTATTTATTTACATATATTTTGTGATGATGATGATGATTGTAAAATGAGGGTGTTCTAGCTTATGGACTTTTATAGAACACTTTTAATAACCAGAAGTCTTTATTCAGTCTGGTCATTATCCATTTATATTTTCTGTCTTGAGGGACTTCTATGTTAAATATTATTACAACTACACTCACTTTGGGCACCAGTTGCCACGGGATTCAGCTGTGTTTGAGAAGGGTTTGAAAAACTTTTGTTCCTGGAAACAATGAGATACAAACCAGTTTGCATAGTTGATCTCTGGCCAGAAAGGACTCCTGTCAAGTGAAATATTAACCCATAAGGAATGCAGTTTCTTAGGGCAATGAGCTATTGGCTTCAAGCCAACTTTAATGCAGAGCTAAAGTGACCAGTTAAAAAACATGTATGCATCCAGAGGTCTGCATGGCTGTCAGACCAGAATAGGATTACCCTTTCTCTTAGCTATAGCTTACCTGTTTGTAATTGGCCTGGTTCTCTAGTGCCAAAAAATAATTTCTAGCTGTATAGTGGACAAATATCTATTACTTTGGTTGTGTCATTGCTGCATGCAGGTGTTTATATTATGAAAACTATAATAGCAACTAGGAGCTCTATTAGTAATTCTAATGTTTCAGGATAGAGAGAGAGCTCAAGGAATGTTTCCTCTCCAGAGTCTCTGCTGGGCGTGATAATCTTCCTAAGCAAGGTCAAATTTACACAGTATCCATGTCATAGGAGGCATGAAAAACTCTGAGCCTGTTGAGGGTAACAGGTAAAAAGTCCCAAGCTCCATTCCTTTGCAGCATGCTCTGCTTGTTCTGCTAGTGAGTGCCAAATTCAAGCTGCACCCACTGAACTCACCAGGTAGTTGCTGCTCCAGGAAATGATTTTTAGGCCCTGTGAGGCATTTATGCTAAAATGCCAAAATACCAGTGGAACAACTCATTCTTTCTGTCAACTCAGAAAGGGCTAAGCCTCTAAAGCATGATAAAGACCACAATGTTCATGCTAAATTGTTCCCTCTTTTTTTTGTTCACAGAGATCAAAGTGCAAAGTATGACTCCCTGTCCATGAGCTCTGATGGACTCTGATGTGCTTTGCAGGTGTTCAATGTACAGCTGGAGGTGGCCAAAATGTGTTGGAAATCACATCTGTGGGATAATTTTAAAAAAACCCAACTATGTTCTCTGCAGAGTGAGTTTCTTTCTCTAAATACTATTCACTTCCCAATGACTTGGTGGCACTCTGGAGATACTAAGAGTAGGACTGATTTGTACCTTTTTGTGGTGGGTTTCAATTCACTCACAGGTTCTTGCAGATTCCTTAGGATTAGAACCTTTTTGACTAGGAAGTTTCGGAGAAGGAAGATGGGAGGAGGTAAGCATTACATCCCAAATCCTACTCACTGGTGAC